TTCCTGAAGAAGAGGAAGGAGAAGGAAAAAACACTCGACGATTGAAGCAGAAAGACGCCCAAATTGGATTGGGATCTGGGAATTCAGAGATGGGTACTTCAACGACAGACGCGCATGGCCGTGCAAAGGCAAGCGACGACAGCAGCAGACAAACCGTGCCAACTCCCCCCGAGGAGGAGGAAGGAGGAGGAGGAGGAGGAAGGAGAAGGAGGAGGGAGGGAGAGAGGAAAGGAGGGAGAAGAGAAAGAGAAGGAGGAGGAGGAGGAGGAGGAGAAGGAGATAGAAGAAGAGTAACGAGGAGGAGGAGGAGGAGGAGGAGGAGGAGGAGGAGGAGGGAAGGAGGAGGAGGAGGACGAGGAGGAAGAGCAGGAGGAGGAGGAGGAGGCTGAGGAGGGAGGAGGAGGTTTTTTTTCACCTGGACCTTTTCCTAGCCTGGTCTCAGGCTAGGACCCAAGCGGTGACCTCATGCGGTGGAGGGAGGAAGGGAGGGAAAGGAGGAGGAGGAGGAGGAGCAGCAGCAGCAGCAGCAGAAGCAGGAGGGAGGGAGGAGGGAGGAGGGAGGAGGGAGGAGGGAGGAGGGAGGAGGAGGGAGGAGGAGGAGGGAGGAGGAGGAGGAGAGGAGGCGGAGAGGAGGAGGAGGAGGCGGAAGAGGAGGAGGAGGCGGAGGAGGAGGAGGAAGAGGAGGAGGAGGAGGAGGGAGGGAGGGAGGGAGGGAGGGAGGGAAGAAGGGAATGAGGGAGAGAAGGAGAAGGACGAGGAGGAGGAGCAGGAGGAGAAGGAGGAGGAGGAGGAGGGAGGGAGGGAGGGAGGAGGGAGGGAGTAGGGAGAGGAGGAGGAGAAGGAAGAGGTGGAGGAGAGGGAGGAGGAGGAGGAGGAGGAGGAGGAGGAGGAAGGAGGAAGGAGGAGAAGGAGGAGAAGGAGGAAGAGGAGGAAGAGCAGGAGGAGGAGGAGGCGGAGGAGGAGGAAGAGGAAGACGAGGAGCAGCAGAAGCAGGAGGGAGGGAGGGAGGGAGGGAGGGAGGGAGGAAGGGAGGGAGGGAGGGAGGGAGGGAGGAGGAGGGAGGGAGGGAGGAGGAGGAGGAGGAGGAGGAGGAGGAGGAGGAGGCGGAAGAGGGAGGAGGAGGAGGAGGAGAAAGGAGGAGGAGGAGGAGGAGGAGGAGGAGGAGGAGGAGGAGGAGGGAGGGAGGGAGGGAGGAGGAGAGAGGGGGGGAGGAGGGGGAGACCGTGCCCCCCCCCCCCCCCCCCCCGCCAAAGCCTCCCTCGCGTGGTGGGTCAGGGGCTCTCAGGGGGGGGCCCTGGCGGCCCTGGAGGGCCAAGAAGCATCTCGAATCGTCTCGATCCTCGACCATCGAGCTTCGACCCTCGAAGGATCTCGATCCTAGACCCTCGATCATCGATCTTCGACAAAAGTCTCGATCCTCGACTCTCGACCCTCGACCCTCGATCGTCGAGCCTGAAGGGCCGAAGTGCACGCTTTCTGCTCCGTTGGCGGAGCTTGGGGCCCCTCCCGGGGGCCAGCTGTCTCGCATCAATTCTTGCGCAGATCTCCGATCGTGCTTCCCTCGAAGAAGCAGAGGAAAGCAAGATTAACCTACGGTCGGCCCTAGGCCAGGAGAACGTCCCTCAAGAACATGAGGCCCTCAGTCGGCCAAAGCAAACAGAACACCCAAGGGTACCCTCCCCAGGATGCACAAGAATCTCCAACAATCACGAAGAGCTTCGGGGTCCTCCCCGAACCGACCTCGATCTTATACCCCGGTCCGACCGTAATCGCACCGTCGGAGGTCCGTGCAGACTCCTTGGGCTGGCGCCAGCCCCCCTCCCTGGCGCGCGGAGCGCGACCCTCCGTCGCCGCCGGGTGGGTGCAGCCCCGATCCAAGAAGCCCGCGCGGACCTCCGAGAGAGGCTCCCGTGCACGTGTACATATGTCGTGTCTGATTCCTCTCTTCGCACGGCTTCTGCCCGACGAGGCCGACGACCAGGCCGACGACCATCCACTTCGAGGCCGACGACCAGGCCGACGACCAGGCCGACGACCAGGCCGACGACGAGGCCGACGACCAGGCGGACGACCAGGCCGACGACCAGGCCCACGCGTCAGCTGCCTTCTGCCCGACGAGGCCGACGGCCATCCCCTTCGACGGCGAGCCGCCTCCACCCGTGGTATGCCCCCACGCGCCGGCACGCAAGGGGTCCAGCGCCGACCTGAGAAATCCTTCCAGGTACAGTCGGGGCGTTGACCTAAGGAACGATAAATAAGGAACGAAGCCAGTTTTCCCCATAAATTAAACTCCGACTTTCCATGGAAAACCTCATGAAAACCCAAGGAGCACTGTACAGCAACTAAGGAACACGGAGCCCCTCCCCAACGAAAAGGGTTCCTTCTTCAGGGCCCCGACTGTAGCGTGCGCCCTCCCAGCGGCGAGCCCCTGCAGGAAGGGGATGGGGAGGGGGAGGGGCGAGAGGGGGGAGACCTTCCAGGCCCCCAGGACACGTGGCGCTCGAGTGCGATTCGGGCTGTTTGCGCAAGTCGCAGGTGGCCTCCTCGACTCGTCACCCCTCCTCACCCTTAGCATCCTCATCCTTCGTATTGTCTTTTTGGTATCCTTTTCTTACTCCTGGAAACCATGCAGTGGCCTTAGCGGAACCCCCTTCCTTCCCAGAGCCATCAGCCATCCTGGCCCTTCCCTTCAGTCTGAAAGCAACTGGTCAAGCTCTCCTCCCAGGAGCCTGTCAAAATTGATGTGGGCTCTCGCCGAATTCTCAAAGTTCCTACAGGCCCACTGAACTCTCCCTTGACAGGAGGGAAAGGAGGAGTCCCAGGGAGCGAGGAGGAGGGCAGATGAACTGCCAAGACCTTCCCGAAGCCTCCTTGGGATCCCCAGGGCACACCAGCTGGCATCCCACACTACACCCCGTACTGCCGGCGCAGAATCGTCTGGCCACATCGGACCAAGTGGATTCGCGGACCCATCTCAGCCGTCATTTTGCATTCGGTGGAGGCGGGTTGGTCGATGTCAGAGGCGACGGCATGGACGCTTCCAGATGGCCACGCGGCTGCTGGAGATAATTGGCATTTCGGCAGCCACATGTATAGCCGGGTCAAGGCGTTGGACTCGCACCGCGGCTTCTTGACAGGCGTTGAGGAGGTTCCGGAGGCCAAGCAGTGGAGAATCGCCAGACAGCATTGCTCTGATGGAGGCTTGGAGTTGGGGGCTGCGTGTGAATATCACCGCGTACGAGCAGCTCGACGGAGTGCCTCTCATGGGACACCAGCTTTCTGAGGCCCTGTTGATGCGTGCAGTTGGAGGCTCCAGGCCGAGGGCGAGGAGAAAGGATGAGACCCCTAGGCGCAATGGGGAAAGGGCTCTGTGCACGCTGCGGGCTACATTTCGAGACTGAGAAGCACGGGGTATGAATGTGCGCTGAGACTAAAAAAGCAGCGTCGCACACGAACAGGCGATGGACCTTGAGCCCCAAGCCGAAGCGCAGGCCGACACGGAGCCAGCGTATTGGCTGAGGGGCATGATTCCTAGGGACGTTTGTGTTGTTTGTTTGTGTTTGTTTGCGTTTTATGCTTCTGCTGATTTGTTCTATTGGTGGGTGAAAAAACGGCCCTACCCTGGGTTACAAGTGCGTGGTATGTAAACCTCCTGGGAACCCCCAAAGCCTAGAGCCGCCAGGACGCTGCACATCACGCAGGGATTACCCTGTCAACCCACAGGAGTTTCAACGCACAACGCCTCGTAAAACAGGGTAGGGGCGTTTTTTATGCCCTTGATTCTAAGGACTGAGTTCCAGTGCCAGCGCTGCCTACCGAGGCGCAGTGGCAGGCAGCAGGCACGAACTCGGGCCTCGCGCGAGGTTTCCTTGGCCAGGAGGTCCCCGCCAGCCCCATCACTGTTTTCGAGGAGGCCAGCGGAGGCCCCGATGAGGCCGGCAAGAAGTTTCGCCGCGTGGCTCTGGCGACTGCCGCGTGCCACCCCCCAGAGCCTGAGGTCAGATTGGCAGTCACACTTCTGGAAGCTTTACGTGGCCCCGAGGCGAGCTCCGCGCCTTTGTCCTAGCGCCCTGGGCCACCACTGGGGCCCGTCTGTACATCACCGACTGCGAGGCCGTAGTCAAAGGGGGGCTCAGCGCTGGGCCCACCCCTCAGGCGAAGACGCGGACATTGGACAGCTAATGCAGTCTCGTGATCAGATCCTGGTTGCGGTCGTCTTTGTACATTCGCATCAGGGCGAACAGGCAATGTGCGTACGCAAGCCCCCCAGGTGGATGATCACGGGGAATCATGTTGTGGACAGTGCTGCAAGCTGCACGGCACACGAGGCGAGATTAGCAGCTGCAGTCAAACTAACAATTATGTTGCACGATGGGCGTGCATTTCTGGTCAGGATGAGACTGTCACGATTGTTCGGAAAACCCCACTAGCGAGGCTTCACATTGCTGGTGATCCGCTCCACGAATATCAGAAGCTGCAGTTTCATAGTAAGATCCGTTTGTGTTTCTGCATAGGCTGCGGGTGCTGTGCAAGGTGCGCGCGTGTAAGATGATCCCCACAAGAGCGCAGTATCTTGGTCGGATGTCCAGGGGTACGTGGCCTAAACTGGCAAGTGCCGACGACAAGCGCATGCGTGGCCGACCTGTGTAGTTCGCACGTGTAGGAAGACATAGTTTAGTAATACACAACCTTGTAGTCATACTCATTTTCGTACTCCTCCCTGCTGCCTCTTCCCTCCGCCCTCCCTCCTCCCACCTGTCTCCTCCCTCCTTCCTCCCCCCCCCTGCCGCTGTCGCTGCGGTTCGGTTCGCAGTCTACCGCCTCCAACTGCCCCAACTCCTCAATCCCCTCCTCCTCCTACTCCTCCTCCTTCTCCTCCTCCTCCTCCTCCTCCTCCTCCTCCTCCTCCTCCCCTCCCATCCTCTTCCTCCTCCTTCTCCTGCTCCTCCTCCTCCTCCTCCTCCTCCTCCTCCTCCTCCTGCCCCAGCCCGGGATCGGGCCTCTAGTGAGACCACGGCGCCGGCATCGGAGCACACCGCGTCGAAACCCTCGTACTCGAAGTCCGTGTAGGTGAGCCCGAACCCGAAGGGGTACTTCGGCTTGATGTCTTTCGCGTCGTACCTGGTTGGGCGCGCCCTCGTGGAAAGCGGTGCGAAGCGCAAGCACCGGGGGGAAGCACGTCGGAAGTACCGTCGGAGCGCTCTCCTTCCTGGGAACCTTTTCTTCTTCGGGATTTCGACATTGGGCGGAAGAGGGGGGCGACGGGGAGGGGTCTGGCTCCAGACCTCTGCTTCACGCGACTGCTTGTAGCAGTGCGTCCTATGGAGGAGGCTCCACCCTCTTGAAACAGGCGCCCAAAGCAGCCAAGATCTACTCCACGGGGGGGGAGGGGGGGGGGGTGCGAGGGCCCGCGCCGATCGGCAAAACAGCGAATCAGAAAACGATCCCGCTGGGCACGGGGCTGCTTCGCGGAATCCTGCGAGGTGCTGCCAGAAGGCACTCTGAACCAGTCGGCAAGCGCCCGCGGAGAGCCTGCCCCGTGCGCTGACGCTTCTCTCCTCTAGCCGCGGGCGCGTGTCACAGCGGACCTAGAACTCCAAACGGACCCCGTCATGCTATGCGCAGTCAGCAAAGGAGAGGAGGAGGAGGAGGCGGAGGAGGAGGAGGAGGAGGAGGAAGAGGAGGAGGATGAGGAGGAGGAGGGAGCTGCTTGCATATGGGCGGTTCCGGAAACCCTGAACCCAAAAATGTTGTCATCTCTTGGTGGCGCATACTTTACTTCCGCCGGCTTCCGCTGCCCTCCCGTCGCCTTCCGCCGGCGGAGCCGATCTCGTTTTACTTCCGCCGGCTGCCCCCCCGCCTTCCGCCGAGGAAGAGATGCCGACATCTTCGATCCTCGAAGGCGAAGACCTCTCTGGAACGCCTCATAGGAGGAGGTGGGGGGCAAGCAGTAGAATGAGCAGGAGGAACGGGAGGAGGAGCAGTGAGGAGGACAAGGACGAACAGCAGCAGCAACAGGAACTGGAGCGGAACGAGCGGCAGCAGCAGGAGGACCAGGAGGGACGGAGGAGGGGAACGGAGGGGGGCGACAAGGATGGGGGGAATGCCAGCTTGATGCCGCTCGCGCTTCATCTACTTGCCCGGGAGGTGGGCCCTCTCGCGCCCAGCCTCAAGACCCCGCTCCGGGGGAGGGCGGGCGGTGGAAGCTGGGGGGGGCGAAGACTTTCTTCATCGAGCAGGTGTATGCCCGAGGTGATCCAACTAAGCGGCACTAGAACGCGATTTGGCCCCGGCCGACTAGACGGCAGCAAACCCCGTGTTGTGTGTGTTGTGTGGTGTGCCGTGCGTGCTATGCTGTGTGTTGTGTGTTGTGTGTTGTGCGTTGTGTGATGTGTGTTGATTGTGTTGTGAATTGTGTGATATGTGTTGTGCGTTATGTGTTGTGTGTTAGGCGTCATGTGTCGTGTGTCGTGTGTTGTGTGTTGTGTGTCTGGTGTGTTGTGTGCGCTGTGTGTGATGCGTATTATGTGGTGTGTGTTGTGTGTTGTGTGTGGTGTGTGTGGTGTGTTGTGTGCAATGTGAGTGTGCAGTGTGGGTTGTGTGCTGTGTGTTGTATGTATCGCGTGTTTCTGTTAAGAGCTGTGTGTTGTGTGTTGTGTGTTGTGCTGGGTGCGGTGTGTTGTGTGCTGTGTGTAATGTGTATTGTGTGCTGTGTGATGTGTGCTGTGCGTTGTGTGTCGTGTGGTTTGCGTGTCTGATGTGCCTTGAGTGTTGTGTGTTGTGTGCTGTGGATTCTTCGTTGTGTGGTTTGTGCGTCGTGTGTCGTGTGTTGTGTGTTGTGTGCGTTGTGTGTGTGCTGTGTGTTGTGTGTTGTTTGTGTTGTGTGTTGTGTGTGGTGTGTGTTGTGTGTTGTGTGTTGTGTGTTGTGTAATGTGAGTGTGCTGTGTGTTGTGTGTTTTGTGTGGTGTGTATTGTGTGCTGTGTGCTGTGTGCTGTGTGTTGTGTGTTGTGTGCTGTGGGTGTTGCGTGATGTGTGTGTGGTGTGTTGTGTGTGCTATTGAGTGTGTGCTGTGTGTTACGTGTTGGGTGTTGCGTTGCGTGGCGTGCGTATTGTGTGTTGTGTGCTGTGTGCTGTGTGTTGTGTGCTGTGGGTTGCGTGTTGTGTGTTGTGTGGTGTGTGTGCGCTGTTTGTTCTGCGCTGTGTGTCACGTGTTGTGTGTTGTTGTGCGTTGTGCGTCGTGTGTCGTGTGTTGTATGCTGTGTGCTGTGTCTGGTGTTTTGTGTGTGCGCTGTGTGTGATGCGTGTTGCGTTGTGCGTGGTGCGTGGTATGTGTGGTGTGTGTGGTTTGCGCTGTGAGTGTTCTGTGCGTGCTGTGTGTTGTGTGACGTGTGGCGTGCATGCGTTGTCTTGTTGGTCGTGTGACGTGTGTTTTGTGTTGTGTGTGGTGGGTGTTGTTTGTTGTGTGCTGTGTGTTGTCTGTTGGGTGTTGTGTGGTGTGTGCTGTGTGTGTTGTTTGTCTTGTGTGTCTTGTGCGTGGTGTGTGGTGTGTGTGTGTGCTGTGTGGTGTGCCCTGTGTGTTGTGTGCTGCGTGCTGTGTGTTGTGTGGTGTGTGTCGTGCGTTGCGTGTGTTGTGCTTGTGGTTCGAGTGGTGTGCGTTGTGTGCGGTATGTGTAATTTATTTCGTGTGTATTGCGTGGTGTGTGCTGTGTGTGGTGCGTCATGTGTGGTGTGTGCTGTGTGCTGTGGGCTGTGTGCTGTGTATTGGGTGCTGTATGTGTTGTGTGAGTTGTGGTTTGTGTGTTGTGTGTTGTGCGACGTGTGTCGTGTGGTGTGTGTTTGGTGCTTTGGGTCGCGTGGTGTGTGCGTGTTGTTTGTTGTGTCTCGTGTGTTGCGTGGTGTGGGTTGTGTGTGGTGTGTCGTGTGTGTTGTGTGGTTTCTGTGTGATGTGTGTCGCGTGTTTGTGGTATGTGCGGCGTGGTGTATGTTGTGCGGTGTGTGGTGTGTGTGTGCGTTGTGTGGTGAGTGTTGGGTATTGCGTGTTGTGTGTTCTGTGTTGTGTGTCGTGTGTGGTGTGCAATGTGCGTCGTGTGTCGTGTGTTGTGGGTTGTGTGTTGTGTGGTGCGCGTTGTGTGTTGATTATCGTGTGGTCCGTGCTGAGTGTTGTGGTTTGGGTGCCGTGTGCGGTGTGATGTGTGTCGTGTGTAAAGCGCGGTGTGTTGTGTATTGTGTGTTGTGTGGGTGCTCTGTGTGTTGTGTGGTGGGTGTTGTGTGTTGTGTGCTGTGGCGTGTGCTGTGCGTTGTGTGTCGTGTATTGTGTGGTCTGTGGTGTTTGCTGTGTGCGTTGTGCTCTGTAATGTGTGTTGTGTGCTGTGTGTTGGGTGCTGTGTGTTGTGGTGTGTGTTGTGTTGTGCATGTTGCCTGTGGTGTGTGTGTGTGTTGTGTGCGGTGTGTGTGTGTGTTGTGCCTTGTGTGTTGTGAGTGGTGTGTTGTGAGTGGTGTGTGCGTTGCGTGTTGGGCGAATTGCGCGTGGTGTGTTGTGAGTTGTGTGGTGTGTGTGTGTTGTGGTGGTGCGTGATGTGGTTTGTGTGTTGTGTGTTGTATGCTGTGTTTTGTTGTGTGTGGTGTGTGCTGCTATGTGGTGTGTCTTGTGCGTTGTGTGGTCTATGTGCTGTGCGTGCTGTGTGTTGCGTGTTGTGGAGTGTGTGGTGTGTGTCGTGTGGTGTGTGTCGTGTGGTGTGAGTTGTGTGTCGTGTGTCGTGTGTTGTGCGTTGTGTGTATTGTGTGTCGTGTTTTGTGTGCGGTGTGTACGATGTGAGTTGTGTGAAGTGTGTGTGGTGTGGTGTGTTATGTGTGCTATATCTGCGCTGTGGGGTGTGTGGGTTGTGGGGCGTGTGCTGTGTGGTGTGTGTTGTCGTTTGTGTTTGGCGTGATGTGTCGTATGTGCGGTGCGCTATGTGCTGTGTCGTGTGTGTGGTGTGGTTGGTGCTGTATGCTGTGTGTTGTGTATGATGTGTTGTCTGTATTGGTGCTATATGTTGTGGCCGGTGTGTTGTGTGGTGTGTGTGCTGTGTGATGTGCACTGTGTGTTGTGTATGTTGTGTGTGGTGTGGTCTGCTTGTTGTTTGTGCGATGGGTGTTGTGTGTGGTGCGCGTGTGGTGTCTGTGGTGTCTGTGGTGTGTGTGGTGTGGATTGTGCGGTGTGTGCTGTGGGTTGTGGAATGTGTGCTGTGTGGTGTATGGTGTGTAATGTGTGCCACGTGGTGCGTGCTGTGCGCTGTCTATTGTGTGCTGTGATTTGTGCGTTGTGTGTGGTGAATTGTGTGATGTGTGCCTTGTGTGTCTTGTGTGTTGTGTGTCCTCTGTTGTCTGCTGTGTGGTGTCTGGTGTGGGTCGGGTGTCGTGTGCTGCGTGTTGTGTGCTGTGTGTCGTGTGTCGTCTGATGTGTGCGTTGTGCGGGATGTGTGTGTTGTGTGGTGTGCGCGCTGTGTGTGATGTGTGGTGTGTGTTGTGCGTTGTGTGTCGTGTGTGTTGTGTGTGGGCTGTGTGTTGCGTGCTGTGTGCAGGGTGGTGTGTGTTGTGTTGTGTGTGGTGTGCTGGGTGTTGTGTGTTGTGTACCGTGTGTCGTGTGGTGTGTGCTGTGTGGTGTGCTGGTTGTGTGTTGTATGGTGTGTGGGTTGTGTGGTGTGCTGTGTGCTGTGTTGTCTGTGTCGTGCGTCGCGTCTCGTGCGTTGAATGAGTTAGGTGTTCTGTGCTGTGTGCGTTCTGTGTGATGTGTGTTGTCTGTGCAGTGTGTGCTGTGTGTTCTGTGTGCTGTGTGTTGTCTGTGCGCTGTATCGTGTGTGTTGTGTGCTGTATGTTGTGTGTGTGGTGTGTTGTGTGATGTGTGATGTGTGGTGTGTGTTGTGTGGTGTGTGCCGTGTGGGGTGTGGTGGGCGTGTTGTGTTGAGTGCTGGGTTCAATGTGCTGGGTGCTGCGTGTTGTGTATTGTGTTGTGTGCTGCGTGTTGTGCGTGTTGTGTGCGATGTGCGTGTTGTGTGTTATGTGTGTTGTCTGCGTTATGTGTTGTGCGCGTTGCGTGTGCTGTGTGTGGTATATGTTGTGTGGTGTGTGCTGTGTGGTA